TCTTCTTCTTCTTCTTCTTCTTCTTCTTCTTCTTCTTCTTCTTCTTCTTCTTCTTCTTCTTCTTCTTCTTCTTCTTCTTCTTCTTCTTCTTCTTCTTCTTCTTCTTCTTCTTCTTCTTCTTCTTCTTCTTCTTCTTCTTCTTCTTCTTCTTCTTCTTCTTCTTCTTCTTCTTCTTCTTCTTCTTCTTCTTCTTCATCCAGAGTTGGAAGGGATCTTGAAGGTATTCTAGTCCAACCTCCTGCTCAAACAGTAGGCCCTATACCATTTCAGACAAATGGTTGTCCAGTCTCTCTTTGAAAGCCTCCAGTGATGGAGCATCCACAACTTCTGAAGGCAAGCTGTTCCATGGGTTGATTGCTCTCACCATTAGAACATTTCTCCTTAGTTCTAGGTATTTCTCTCCTTGGTAGAGGAGAGTCTTATTATATAGTTACTGTATGTCATATTATAGTAATAATTATATTAATATTATATTAATAGTTATATTATATTACTGACAGGAAATTTCTCCTTAGTTGTAGGTTGCTTCTCTCCTTGGTTAGTTTCCAATCAGTGCTTCTTGTCTTGCCTTCTGCTGCTTTGATCTCTTCTTTGTGGCAGCCACTCAGGTATTGGAACACTGCTATCATGTCACACCTAGTCCTTCTTTTCATTAGACTAGACAACTCAAATTCCTGCAATTGTTCTTCATATGTTTTTCAGTCCCCCCCAATCATCATTGTTCCCCTTCTCTGCACTCTTTCCAGCATCTCAACATCTTTGATATATTGTGGTGACCAAAACTGGATGCAGTATTCCAAGTACTAAAGCAGTACTAACACTTCACATGATCTTGATTCTATCTCTCTCAATAGATTCAATAGATTGAAAAGCACAATTCAATAGATTGTACAACTAGATCACTGTACAAAAAGTCCAACTCAACAGACTGAAAACTAGCATTACAAGTTGGATATCACACCAAGCAGGCTGACTTCTCTAAATAAGAGATGAAATTTTCATAAGTGGAAAAGAAGATAGTTTGACAATAGAGAGTTTGTCTATTGAACCAGACCATAGAATGGTTTTTCCTTTAAGAAAAAATTCAGTTTGACCATGACAAGAGGATTGTAGCCAAAATGGAGCCACTGAAAATGCATCTAATGAATGTCAGCATCTTGGGGGGAAGAATAAATCTCCTTTATCCCATCTGGGAATCAAATCAAGTCATTCTAAATAAACTTTAATTTTATAGTATATTTTATTATACTCAATGAAACATTTTATCTTTAGTACATATCATTTTCTTCAAAGCTTCTTTGACATCTTTGTTCCTCAGAGTGTAGATAAAAGGGTTGAGCAGAGGGGTTACAATGGTATTAAGTACAGAAACCACCTTGTTTATTTCCAAAGAAGAGTTGGCATTGGGCTTAACGTACATGAACATTACAGTTCCATACTGGATGGATACAACTGTAAGGTGGGCAACACAAGTAGAGAAAGCCTTCTGTCTCCCTGAAGACGAAGAGATGTGCATTATGGTGAAGATGATCAAGCTATATGAGATTGCAGTGAATAGGAAGGTACTGAACAGAAGAAGGACTGATCCCAGTAACACCATCTGTTCAAGCAGATATGTATTAGCACAAACTAAACTCAGTAAGGGAGTCACATCACAGTAGAAGTGGTTGATCATATTGGGACCACAAAACGGGAGCAGGCATAGTAAAACCATCTGGACAATGACAGTGAATAACCCTCCCAACCATGAGCCCAAGGCTAGTTGGAGACAAAGTCTGAAATTCATGATGCTGTTGTAATACAATGGTTTGCAGATGGCAATGTAGCAGTCAAAGGACATCGAAGTGAGCAGGCAAAATTCTGTGGCCCCGAGGAAGAAATGGAAAAAGGCTTGAGAGATGCAACAGTAGAAACAGATGGACTTTTTCTCTGCTAGAAAGTGAGCCAACATCTTGGGTGACAAGGTGGTGACGTAGAAGATCTCCAAGGAAGAAAAATTCCCCAAAAAGAAGTACATGGGATTATGGAGATGAGGATCATGGGCAACAATGACAATGATCAGGATGTTTCCAGTGATTGTGAGGAGGTAGATAAAAAGAATCGGGACGAAGAGATACTTCTGCAACTCAGCCGAGCCTGGAAACCCTTGCAGGATAAACTCAGTGACCACAGTCTGATTTATCTGATACATTTGCAGGGATATCTTTTGCCTATAACTGTCAAGGACAAACAAGAGGATAAAAATTACAGTCTGGTTATTTTATCATCCTATTTAAATTGGTCATCCCTCTTTATAAATGAAGAAAATGTCCAATACTAGATTGGGCCCATATGTCAACAGTTATGCAACTTATAACATAAAATATGGAATCACAGGTTAGATAATTGAATTAGAAAATTAAAATTATTTAGGGGCGTTCATTTGTGTGAGGCACATCAGGGGTCTTTATACAATATTCATTTCTGTCACTTTCAATGGCCAACTCTATTGGATTGTCACAAAACCTTGGGTGGCTTACAATCTTTCAATCAAGAAATTCTTAAATATTTGTCTATTGAACCAGACCACCAAATGAATTTCTCTCTAACAGAAATCTCAGTTTCTACTAGAGCCATGGTTAGAATGCTGTATTGCAGGCTGACTTTGACCACAGCCAGGAATTTGATCCTGGCCAGCTCAAGGTTGACTCAGCCTTCCATCCTTTTGAGGTTGATAAAATGAGGACCCAGAGTGTTGGGGGCAATAGGATGACTCTGTAAATCTGCTTAGAGTGGACTGTAAAGCACTATGAAGTGGAATATAAGTCTAAATGCTATGCTATTGCTATTATAGAATATGAATAGTATTCTAACAATATAGATGTGCTGAAAAACAGTAAAGAAAAATAGGAGCCCAGGGATCACACAAAGTAGAAAAAAAAATATTTAGGGAAAAACTAAGTAAGAAAGCCAAAACGAATAACATCATACAACCTCATATGAATTCATGATGATTTCAGAAGCTACAAGAAAACATGTAGACACATAGAAATAAACCAGTAAGAGAAAGGCCAAATGGGGAATTTCAGATGTAGCGGGCTGACCGAAAGGCTTTGCGGGAGCCTGGCCAGTGAGAGGGGAGTGGAAAGCTTGGACAGCTGCTGCCATTTGGGTGTGGTGGGTGTAGACTGGGGAAAGGGAAGAAAAGGAGAAGGAGAAAAGGGGTGGAGGGTGTTGTTGCTCTTGGAGAGAGACCAGGAGAAGGAGAAAAGGGGTGGGGGTGTTGTTGCTGTTGGGGAGAGACCAGGTGAAGCCGAAGAGAATTGGAGTTTTAGGTGATTCCTCTCCTTTGGAGTAGTGGGAAGGAGAGAGAGAGAGAGAGAGAGAGAGAGAGAGAGAGAGAGAGAGAGAGAGAGAGAGAGAGAGAGAGAGAGGGAGGGAGGGAGGGAGGGAGGGAGGGAGGGGGTGAGTAGGGTTTTATTGCTTTCTTTTGCAAGGGGATATCCCGAGCAAGGAGAAGAGAGAGAGTGAGAGTGAGGAAGTTGCCTGGGGTGCTGAACCAGGTTTAAACTAGATTTGGCATAGCGAGAGGGACCTGGGATGACAGGCCCCAACAGAAGAGAAGAAGAGGCGAGCCGCTACTGCTTCGGAGACCAGCAGCCATCCAAACGTTGATCACTATCACCTGTGCATGCTATAAACATTGTGGGGAGCTGCCCTGGCAGAGTGAGCTGTGACTGCGGGGTGTTGATTATCTCCGCTCGTGGTTTCTGCTGCTACTTGAAGCTGGGGAGTTCTTTCCACACACCCCTCTTGTTTCTCAAATGACTGCTGAGGACTATTGACTATTATTGCTACGACTGTCTGAGGCTGTTAAATACTGTTATGCACTGACAGCCATGGTTAGTGGTCAGTCACCATTGTTCCTGAAAACTCCCCCTCTGACGACGAGAACTTGCCATCTCTTCACTCCGTGTGAGCTCCCGCTGAAACTGGACATTCTGTCAATGCCTTGAGAGCGCAGCTGTTGAACGGGAATAAAGGGGGAGGGTTAGGAGGGCCTGTGGTTTGGCGGCCTCCAAAGGGTAACGCTACACAGAAACTATTATGATTAAAATATTGAGGATGATCACCAAATATTTAAATCTTTTTACCATCTCACACAAGTTCTTTTAAGATATGATGTGTCTGTATATAATTTAAATACATATAGGGGCCATATAGGGCAGGACACCACATCTGTTTTCAGTAAGTTTAGATGCTTTAGCTACTTGCTTTGTTTGTATTAATTACCTTGTGTTTTATTCTTCTTTAAGTTCCTGAGAGTCAGTTTAGATTATGACAGGATAAAAATTTGATAAACTGATAAATAAAGGACCAAAATCAATATGCGTTCCAAGAATAAAAAAATGTGCAAAAATTTAAAGTATCTGTAAGAAGAGAATGCCCACCCATCCTATGAATGACATACAAGTTATAATTATGGGGAAAACTTTCCTCCTGGGAGAGCCAATATTATAATCTCTTGCATTTTGCTTCTATATTTTTCATGTCTATCTTGATGGATATGGAAACATGTTTTGACAAAGGCAAAGATGGGATTAAAAAGTGTTAGGGATTTGGGTTTTTTGCTCCCTTCATTGTACTACTACAGTTTTTAAATTAAAAGCTCTTTGAGGGGGTCAGAGTCTGGAAGAGATCTCCTTAGGAAAAGAAGGGTTGTCAGCATTAATATTACAAAGATTTCCAGATCTTGATCAAACCTTCATAGGTTGTTAAAGACATAAACCAAGTCAGGTTAGGAAAAGAAGAGTAGATGTGTTTACAAAACATGCACAACTTTGACGTGCTTTAACATCAGGGAAATATTTTTTTTTTTGAGGGTGGTATGTTAAGATGTTGTGTGAACTTAGTCTATTTGTTTGTTTAATTTTGGCTCTCCCCACCCTTCACAGTTGTGACACTTGTGGCAGCTTAGAATGACTAAAATAAAATATCTGCAGTAGAAAATCAATTACAGTGCTTAAACATTACACAGTTCCTCCCCAAACCCTAACACAATTAATCAAAATTAATCAAAATATATGCAGAGTTGACAAGATTAATAAATAAATGGTTTTCCTGAATTGTTCTGCGTTTGTGATTTCCTGTATTTTAACAAAATAGACATGATCAGATATCAAGAACTAGAAAAGTGTATGGTTCAATGTCTCATATAAACACCCTGGACAGACAAATAGAATAGAATAACAAAGTTGGAAGGGATCTTGTAGGTCATCTAGTCTAACCCCCCACCCACCCAAGCAGGAGACCCTGCAAATGTAATGGTCAAGTTAAATAAGCAATAGAAATCTGGCTTTCAAAGAAATACTGTTCAGGTGCTGAAGATGAAGTGTACTCACAGAATAAAAGGCAATTTTTACAAGCTCTATCACATAGAAATCCACCTTTCCATCAACAATAAGCTTTTCTGAGATTTAAAGAAAATAAAGCACACACATATAAGAAAGGAGTTCAAAACTCAAGGCACTCTGCAAGATGGAAGAAAATAGAGGGGTACAGCCAACTGTGCCCCATAACCTGCAAAAAAGGAGAAAATATATAGATTTTACTTAAATGTTATGGTTCCATCCATGGTGCTGCATAACAATGGGTTCTTTACAGGTCTGCTATATTTTTAGTCATACTTCCCTAAGCCACAAATGAGTTTTGAAGAAAATCTTAATAGCCCAGAGAGACCTAATTAGAATGGTGTGAATATGCATGTCTTTCTTTCTTTCTTTCTTTCTTTCTTTCTTTCTTTCTTTCTTTCTTTCTTTCTTTCTTTCTTTCTTTCTTTCTTTCTTTCTTTCTTTTTCCTTCCTTCCTTCCTTCCTTCCTTCCTTCCTTCCTTCCTTCCTTCCTTCCTTCCTTCCTTCCTTCCTTCTGTAAAATTATGCTGCATAGGCATATAATACAAGCTAGAGTGGAAAGATTTTTGCTCGATGGACACATTTTTAAAAGGTTTACTCCCTAATGCTTTGCCACACAATGTTTGTTTATGGAGTAGTGGGCAAACACAATGACTAAAAGAACTTTATCCAGTTGCAGTTTGGGAAGCACAGATTAGTTTGAGATGGTTGAAATCTTGTGGGAGTATCTATGCCAGGCATGTCAAATTGCCGGCCCATGGGCCAGATGCGTCATACCAAAACCACTCCCATCCCATTGCCGACAATGGGGAAAAAGTCCTAATACGTCGTGCAACGTCACATGACATTGCGAGTTTGACATGCCTGATCTACGCTTTGCAGGGGAGAAGAGGTTGGCACACATCTTAATGTCATACTTCTGGGATAAATGTGTTGCCACTTGGGTCAGGGTGGATGAGTTCTATTGTTGTTGGTGTGTGGGGCCAAAACTTTCCTTGGGTGTTAAGAGATGTTGGTGGAGTTGCTTATTTTAGTCTTGTAAGCTACCCAGAGACACTTGCGTGAGATGAATATGGGTGCACACAGAGACACAGACAGACAGACAGACAGACAGACAGACAGACAGACACAGACATAATATATATAAATATATTCAAGTGGTCTGTGACTTACAACCATTTGTTTCATGACTGTTCGAAGTTACAACATCACTAAAAAAAAGTGACTTGTGACCAGTTTCCACATTTAAAACTATTGCAGTAATCCGACAGTTATGTGATCAAACATTTGGCAACTGGCATATGCAATATTTATCACCATTTCACTGTCCCAGGGACATATGATCACTATCCGTAATCTTTCTAGCCAGCTTTGATAAGCAAAGTCAATGGGGAAAGTCTATGGATATAGACAGGCATAGATATAGATGATATAGATGATATAGATAGATACAGACATATAGACATATAGATGTAGACATAGAGGTAGATATAGACAGAGAGATAGGTAGCTATAGATGTAGCTGTTGCTATAGTTATAGATATAGATATATAGATATTTCTTCCTCTAAAGTACTAATCAGGCATTCCTTGTTAATCTTGTTGATGCCTTCAAAGCTATGTTGGGATTATAGTGTTCTATATTCTGATTCAAAACATCAACTAAAATTCACAAAAGTTGAAGTGCAACTCTTTACTTAAGAATAGAATAACAGGCTTGTGTATAGACAAATTCAAGAGAGATGGCGAATTGATAAAAAGATTACTTTTTCCATGGAAGATGGGAATTTTTTGAAACAAGTAAGGGACGATGCTAAAGGACACATTAGAAGGATATATAATGTTTTATTAGAATTGGATTCAGAAACTGAGCTAGTTAAAGATTGCATGATTAAATGGGCTCAAAATATAGGAGAAACAATATCTATGGATACCTGGGAGTTGATATGGATGAGAAATGTGAAGTTTACGCAAGCTCAAAATTTACGTGAGAATTTTTATAAAATGTTTTATAGATGGCACATGGATCCTGCAACTATGTCTCGCATTTATGAGAATTATGAATCCAAGTGCTGGAGGTGTGGACAACAAGATGCAACTTTTTTTCATATGTGGTGGACTTGCAAGGTTATTAAGGCCTTTTGGATAAAATTGTGGTGGAATT